AACAGCAACATTGGAAGGTCAAACCCCATCCCTAAACCCGAATCAACAATGTGAGTTGATCAGGTATAGGGCTTGCGATGCCCCACTAGACGCTCCTGCACTCCTTAGCCAGGCATGCCGCATTGAACCGTGAGGATGTCTTAGGAAGTGTCCCATGAAGCAAATTTGTTCCCGTACACACGAAGGAACGCAACACGGCTGGCCAGTTGGGGGTTTACGATACTGGGGGTACCTTATGGGGGTCATGATTATAAGTTGATCCTACTATTCGGGGTCTATTTTAGGGTCCCCTATTTTCGTAAGCCCCCAGTTCTCGCAAGCATGCTCCCACAATTTGAAGCCCCAAATGAGAGCAAAGGGGGTCCCAGACCTCCGTCGAACCCCTTCGGTATCTATGTATTTATGTATAAGACATACAATCATTCTGAACACTGTTTCAGCATTTAAATTACTTTCTGGATTCATGCAAAGTCCAATGAACCATAGATTTTTTCTGCATTGGCACCTTCACCTTACCAGAATTCCCTAGGTTCGTAGTAGAAGTGGGTTTAGGGTTGAGGGTTGAGGGTTTAATTAGGGTTTAGGGTTTAGGATTTAGGGTTTAGGGTTTAGGGCTTTGGCCATGGAACCCAAAACAAATCCCTAACACCGACGCTCTGCGGAAGGCGAGTGTCGACATCTCCGAGGTCGTGAAGCAGCGGACGTTTGCGGAGCTGGTCTCTGGCGCCGAGGACGTAGGGTTCGGGGGTTTGGGGGTTTGGGGTTTAGGGTTTAGGGTTTAGGGATATCTGAAACCTGAAGCCTTAGTGATTAGTGTAACATTGGCGGAGGGGAGAGTTTTTTTTTCTCTCTCTCTCTCTCTCTTTCTCTCGCTAGTGGTGCGAAGCCTCAGACCTTGGCTTCCAGGAGGGTTTGGGTTGAGGTTTTAGGGTTCTGGGTTTTGGAGTACTGTACTTTAATACTTTTTTTGGTTCTGGGTTCCTATTATAGCTACTTATACCTAAAAAGTATATACTTTTTTTCCAGGGTCTACTCCAAAGGTAGGGGTTGAAGGCATAGGGTTGAAGGACTGAAGGGCATAGGGTTGAAGGGGTTTAGGGCATAGGGTTGAAGGGCTGAAAGGCATACGTACGGTTGAAGGGTTGAGGGTTGAAGAGTTTAGGATATATGGGTCCAGGGTAACTTGAGACAAAGGCCCCCCGGTAGGATGCCAAGACTTCTACTTGGCCCAGCTCTGCCCAGGTCCCCATCGTATCATTGTTCAGAGGATACCCAAAAAGTCCATCCCTAAACCCTAAGCCCTAAACCCTAAGCCCTAAGCCCTAAACCCTAAACCCTAAATGATTATGGTCAGGTTTTGTTTGTTTGTTTTAGGGCTTAGGCTTAGGGTTTAGGATGCAAGGATTGTTCCGGGCTTGTCTGCACCCTGTGGGGCTACAGTGAGTTTAGGGGGATTAGGGGGTTTAGGAGGGGGGGTGAGGGTTAGGGGGTTTAGGGGGCTCAGTGGGTTTAGGGAGTTTAGGGGTGTTAGGGGTTTAGAGAGTTTAGGGGGTTTAGCGGGTTTGGGAGGTTCAGGGGGTTTCGAGTTCGCCGGGCGTAGCCAGGACGACGTGGAGGCCATTGTGGACGAAATCAACCAGCGCATCGCCGATGCCTGTTCTTTCCACAAGATCAAGATACCCGGCTGGCAGAGTTTCTACTTGGAGGTTCATGGGTACTATAACCCCGATGATAAGTCTACGTATAACCTACTTTGAGGACTTAGGGGGCTTACAACTGCAGGGGTTATAAGGCTATAAGTACCCCGAACCTCCCAGAGTACGCCCTTATGTCCTTTCGTAAGGGGTTAGGTTCCCCTAAACCCTAAACCCTAAACCCTAAACCCTAAACCCTAAACCCTAAACCCTAAACCCTAATTATAAACCCTAAACCCTAAACCATAAACCCGAAACCCTACACCCTTTCCCTTTTCCCGTCACGGCCCTTTGAACCAAGAAAAACGGCAGGCGAGGCTTTTGGATGCTGCGTGGGAGGCAGCTTGCAATCGAAAAGCCCCACGCCCTTAAACCCCAAGCCTTCAGCCCTAGAACCCTAAACGCCTAAACCCTTAAACCCTTAAACCCTTAAACCCCTAAACCCTAAACCCTTAAACCCTTAAACCCTTAAACTCTTAAACCCAAAACCGTTAGACCCTAAAACCCTGAAACCCTTAAACCTAAAACCCTGAAGCACGAAACCCGAAATACCCTGATAACCCCAAAGCACTGAACCTTGGTCCGCAAAAAGGATTGCGAAAGATGAGACGTCCATTGTCTTCCTGGACCCCGAGGAAGATGACGACGAGTAGAGGCTGGAGGTTTAGTTCCCCAGGTTAGAATTTAGGCTCAGGGTCTAGGGGTTTATAGGGTTTATGGTTTAGGGTCGGTTCCCCGAAAGGGTCGGTTCCCCAAATGAGGGTACAAAGTCCCTAGGGTTTAGGGTTTAGGGTCTGGGGTCCCTGTCAAGGGATCTTCCGAGATTTGGGTGAACAGAAGCCCTTTGCCAGAAAGTATAACCTTCCGTTGGGTACTAGTGGGCCCTAAACGTCGAAAGGGTTCTAGGGTTTAGGGTTCAAAAGCCAGAAAGCCCATTTAAACCACATAAGCGCTATATATACATAATATTATTCCCTATAAAAACAACCTGTTTAAACCCTAGATCAAACCCCAGATACACCCTGTATATACAGCCTAGATATACCCTAGACAACCCCTATTAAAGCCCTTTTCAAATCCCATTAAAAAAAAACCCTGTATAATCCGGGCGTTCGACTCGTCATGGGAAAAGCTGAGGGTTCAGGGTTTCGGGGTTAGGGTTTCAGGTTTAGTGTCCTAAACCCTAAACCCTAAACCCTAAACCCTACGAAACTGTACCCCCTAGACCTGCTTTCGCCCTGAAGGCTACGTCCTTTTCGATCGCCGCGAGCCGCGTGCGGCGCGCAGAGCGTCACATTCGAGAGCAGCGCTAGGAAAAAAAAGTGGAGTTTGGGGTTTGGGGTTTAGGGTTTAGGGTTTAGGGTTTAGGGTTTAGGGGTATACCTGAAGGCCCCATGTAGTTCCTTGTTGGGTAAGTTCTAGGGGATTTTAGTGTACTTCCCCGAGAAGGTGCTACATAGGAGCCGTTTGGGTGGAGTTGAAGGCTCTGGGTTGACCCAGTAATCCCTGAAGCCTAGGCCCTAATCTGCACAGGCTTCTTCCATGATGACGACTGACGATGAGTCGCAGTTTTAGGAGGTTCGGGTTTAAGCTTAAAGCCCGGAATCGTAGATTTTTCCTTGTTGGTACCTAACCCAAGTTCTGGCCTTTTAAAACTAGGCGATTGATTGACTTAGGTACCAGGCCCCACGAAACTCGATTCTGCCTTATCGTTTGCTCGGACCTGAAGCCCAAACCGTTTAGGGTTTAGGGTTCAGGGTTTAGGGTCAGCTCTACACCGAATTCAGCCGCGCAGGCTAATTTCTGAGCCCCGGCACCCTAACCTCAAACCTGAAAAGCCGGTTGAAGCTCGAGCAGATGGATTCAACTACTTCGGGATCATCTAACCTTGTGCTACTATTGCGGTGTACGGACCATGAACCCTTTTAGGGTTTAGAGTTCCTAAACCCTAAACCCTAAACCCTAAACCCTAAACCCTAAACCCTAAACCCTAAACCCTAAACCCTAAACCCTTTCAGGGTTCAAGTGATTCCCCTGGTTGGGGCTTCGGAGGCTTGAAGCCCTCTTGTGGGCTGCGTTTGTGTGGCTGGGTGTGAGGCTAGAAGGGTTTGAGCTGACAGTTGCATCCTGCGATTGAGGGTTTGGGGTTTGGGGTTTGGGGTTTGGGGTTTATAGGGTTTTGTAGGGTTTAGGGTTTAGGGTTTCGGGTTTAGGGTTTAGGGTTTAGGGTTTGTAGGGCTTAAGGGGGTCAGAAACGTGACATGGTATCTTGCGGGTGAAAAAAGTGGGCTCGGAGGTTGTGTGGACCTGTACCTGGTCGGTCTATGCGGCGGTAGTATAGGGGTCGGAATAGTTGCTAAGAATCTTCCCTCATGGTCCCTATTT